TGCGCTGTCGGCAATTTCATATAATTACTCATTGTCAATCACATTTTGTACCAATATCTTAACAGCTGCAGGTATTTTGCGTTTGAAATTATTAGCATAACGTGGGCATTCCCTATGTCTTCACTGCTGTAATTATCTTTGTTTAAAAGTTGTTTGTCTGGCTCTAATACACATCTCTATCGTACAGTAATTCAGAATACAGTAGACGCCCTTAATATAACAGCGGTTAATGTTATCATTCAAGATATTGTTATCGAATTGTTATCGAAGTCTTGACCCTTTGTATACGAAAACTTGGAAAATAATCTCACTTATTGTGATGAATAATATTTATATCACAATAAATTTTTTAAGCCTTTTTAAATTTTTAAGTCGCCAAATAGGTTCTGAATTGTTATGAAAAATACGAAACGACAGAAAAGTGTCTCCAAATGAAGAATTAATTTTCCAAACAGCTTGGTTTCAAATTTCGTCATTTATTTAAAATTAGGCTAAAAAGCAGTCTTGGTTTTGACTTAGATTTTTATTAATTTTATATATTTTGAGGGTGTTCAGACATAGGTCTCTCTTCTTCAAAAGTAAAACATTATAAACGTCTACTTCAAGACTTTTTTTGCCTAATTTTATATTTTAAATTAGCAAGGAACCTTCCAATGAGGTATGCCCGAGCGTTAAGATTTAAGGTACCGCATAGGTCAAATAATTTCCAGAAAGGTTATCAACTGTTCACACTAATAAAAAACTGCATAAAAGTCATTATAAAAACAGTTCATAAACTTTCACACCTTCCTAATAAAAAAATGCCTTGAAAATATTATCTATATGTTTTAGTTTATTTATATTTAATTCATTAAAATCCATTACTATTGTTACATGCTTACGGTTTCATAACAGATTGAATGCACACAGAACCGATGATGGCTTAATGAAATTTATTTAAAAAATAAATTAAAATAAAAAATTGAAAGCTTTTATATTTTATATTATGCCAAAGAGGCTTTTTTATTTTTTATTTACATATACATGCACGATTCGACAGCATTTAGGCTAAAAGTATTAAAAAAAACTGATGTGTACACCACATGACTTGCTTGCACGGAATATTAAATTATACTAATTTTTCTTGCATTTCATTTAAACTTATTGAATTGAATTAAATCTAATAATACTTCGTCGATAGCGCATAAACCACAATAGGATAAATGCACTCTTTTAAAATTCGCTATATTTGTTACCATAGCGACACTCTGGCGTAGGTTCACAACATCATTTTATTTCTTCCATATTATAACTCAGGATGCATATAAATTTATATCATTTGAAGTATTATATAATCGTTGCCGCATGTTCTATTCAAGTTCTATAAAAAAAATAAAACGATTATAAAAGAAATTAAAAGGACAAAACAAAAAAGAAACAGCTTTTCACAGACGATTAAGTATTTCTCATTCAATTAATTCAGTTCTCCCTTCCCGACAAGGCAAAAATACATAAAAACACAAAATACGTATATTAAAAATTACGAAGTAAATCTGAAACACTTATTTCCTCGAATAAATTCCAGAATGGATTAAGCCTGATTTAATTCGCAAAAATAAAAGAAGGCGTTATCTTTGGAGTTGCGAAGCTTAGTTTCTCTAGCTTGGCAACAAATCCGCTATTTTGCCAAGTTTCAAATGTAAACAAATGTTTCCGCCATCGCAAAATTCATTAGGCTTAGCTGCACTTAAACAACTTTTAAATTGCTGATAACTCCACAAATATTGCATACAGGCATAAAAACCTTAACCGGAAGGCAAGAACAACATAATTCAATCATTTTTAAAGCAAAAAATGCCCAACTTTCAAACATATAAGAATAAAGAAACTTAGCTCACTGAGCCGAGTAACAGAGCGGATATATATATATGTATATTTATATACTTTTGGTGCGGCCGATTGCCACCAAAATTCGAGGTGCACATCTACATGTTATAGTCCTACATACAAAATTTTAACGTCTGAGGCTATTCGTTTTTGAGTTATGCGGGATACGTACGTACGCACACACACCACGAAAAAAATTTCTTCAGAATTCATTTTAAATCACTTTTGTAATTTTTTTGGGAAAAGAGTCCTTTATTCTGCCCTTACTCACGGATGTCACGCAAAAACATCATTAAATTGCATTGGATAGCGGTCAAAATTGGTATTTTCTTTGAAATACGATACCCGAAATTTTTCGCGATTTACAATACTTCCTTTTTACTTCGTACAAGGAAATAAAAACATCATAGCTTTAGAATTTCTAGGAGACAGTCTTGATAACTGGAGATAAAAAATATTTTATTCAGTACAATGTGTTGCCACTACTCGATTTGAAATCGTGAAGTTTCTCAATCAAAAATTCGTTAAAGTTTAAAATATGAAAAAGATAATAAAACAAATTCAACATTCAAGATTCGGGCTTTTGGGGGCCCACATTCAGGTGGAGGACTTCGTTATTCAAAATTTGATGGCTTTAGGCATCGTTGTTTTTTCAAAAAGCGAGAAACAAGCATACATTCATGCAGATTCTTCATTATTTAATATTATTAAATACAATACAGGGTGATAATATTTAGTGGCGAGCTAAACGCTCACTGAAATCTCTCAAAATACGTATAACTCAGCTGTTTGCTTTGATACTTGGTTGTTTATACCGGAGTTCAACTGGAATTATTACCATTGAAATTGGTGCTTTCTCGGATATATTATAGTCTTCCGCAGTCGGCCGAGAAATTTTAAGTACCTTCGGTTTCTCGAATTTGCTGGAAGGCATACACAGTTAAGAGTTACACAGCATAGGCTCGGATACAGTTAGAGTTACACAGAGATCGCACCAGTTAGAGTAACACAGGGATAGGACTAAAATGTCGCCAAATAGCAGCCAAGCTTGTCGACTTTTGGCTATTTCTTGTTAAATTTGGAGAAAAATATTAATAGACAAAACTATTGACAGCTTGGCGGCTTCGCATTGTGAGGCCTGTTATGTTGTACATTGATAGAGAATTGCTAAGGACGGATGACAGTAGCAGCGACAGCAATTACAAAAGTGAAGGCAGGAAAATGTGGAAATCAGCGAAAGTGTGGGATACAGTAGGAGATGTTGTGTGTATGCAAAGTTTGGATTGTCGCTGTTGTTCGTCACGTGATGTACTGATAAAAGAGATAAAGAATTTGACGCATATTGACTTTTGTTGTTGAAAAGCAAAATTTGATTGGAAAAAAATCAGTTGACGAACTTGCAATTTTCGGCATGCCTTCCCGACATCACTTAGATGATTTTACGTGTGGCCGTATTATTGACAACATTGAAGAACGGAGAAAAATTACAGATGTTTCTAGGGAGTTCGATGTCAGCCTCAGTGATGTTTCAAAGCTTTGGAAATCCTTTCAAACAAATGGAATGTGTAGCGAACGTTACAGGGGGTCGTATTCGCAATGCGACGCCTGCAGAAGAGGGTAAATAGTGCTATCGACAAAATGGAATCGGCAAAGCACATCTATTGAGGTAGTTACTTGCTGCTATTGGCAAGCGAATCTTCCAAAAAACTAGACTCAGCAGAACTGCGTTTGTGTACTATTCTTAAATGACATTACGTTCAGTCTGTTACCGGATTATACACGTCAACTGATCTGATGTGAGAGTGGTATTACAGATTAGGAAATATCCAGGAAAGAATCGGTTTCCGATATACAGTTACCATGTTATGGACCGGCACTATGATCAATGGCCTCATGCCCTACATGTAGTTGCAGCTGGGACTATGACTGGTCTACGATAGTTAATGATGTTCTACTGCCTCTCATGTTATCATGTTCCGTCCGTGGTGCTACTGGTGATAAATGTATTTTCATGGATGACAACGCAACATGTCATGGAACAGTCGCTGTCCAAAAGTGTCTCGAGACCAAGGATATTCAACGCCTCGTATGACCAACATGTTCTCCAGATCTGAATCTCATGAAAATGTTTGAGATGCTTTAGGGAGGAGTTTTGCTGGTCGACAATGCCCTCCAATGAACAAGCATACCCTCATCTGTGCACGACAGAGGAATGGAATAAATTACCCCAACAATTGTTGGATAATCTTGTGCAAGGTATGACACAATGTGTGGAATCTTATATTGCCCTCCATGGTGACCATATCCTGAACTGACATCTTATGCCAAAATGCCTGTGGACAGTAACTGCGTTTTTTCCACTTATTCATACAATATGTATTCAGTACAATATGACCTTTTCGTTCCTTGAATCCTTATCAAAGCCTTCTAAATTTCGGAGCACAATAAGTTATTTTTATTGTTATGTCCTAGTTTTTCTGATATTATTTTATTTCACTTTGCATTCAAATACACTTAACGTACTGTATAGCCGTATGGGGTCCGTTCTTAGCAATTGCCCACCAGTGTACAAGAGATATTATAATTTACATAAAATGTCACCAAAATTATTTACATATACACAAAATTCGTAACACTGTTTTGAAGGATATTTTAGCCTCATCATTTAATGTTATCATTCCGTTAATGCTATCAAAATAACCACGAACAAACGTCGTCAACTTAAGAGGCACCTATTATATGTATATATCAGAAATATCTTATCATTATATCTTAAAACTGCATAATGCATTTTTCATTGATTACTTCGAAGGTAACAAAAATTGATTTGATAACCGTAATATTGTATACAGCATAACTCATTTACATTTGCTCCAGAATATTTTATGAGTACATATACTATTAAAATTTTAATTTGTTATTTGGATGATGTACGTTGGCAATTTTCACAAAAGGAAGCTGACAAAAACGCGTTATATAGATAGAATTACCCCAACAACTGTTTGCTAATTTATGTTGCGAAAATGAGGGACATTTGGGGGGGGGAGAAAAAGCTTACAAGTATAGTATTCTGAATTTTATATTATTCAATTGTGCACACTCTTACACTTAATTCTGAGTGTAAAAATACTTACCATTACTGTTTAAGGCTACTGTTAATTCATGATGTTCTGCTAGCCTTTCCTCTTCTTTTGTTGGTGGTAAGTGAAGTTCAATGCCCAAATAATAAATCCATCCACCGATAATAGCTCCCAAGTGAGGACCCACTAAACCGATCCACCAATAATTGCGATAACTGAAAGGGAAAAAAAATTGGAAATTGATTGCCCGAAATTACAAAGCAAAGATTTTGTTACATTATTTTATTACAGAAAACTCGCTACAGCTCTCCATCTATGGGAGGAGATATCTTTGCGGAAGGCTTTCTAAGGTAAACTCACTCATGCTTACATCACATGCAAGGAAACTATGAGGATTTAATTCATTCACCTATTATGAGTCTGAGAATAGAACTCACAGGGAATTATTATTGCTAATCGGTTTAGACATTTGGCCTAAATCAAAAGCATTATTGCTATGCGTTTCATATATGTTACGATCTTATAACTCTGCTGTTTAGTTGTGCATACAATGTTTATCTAATGATATTTCATGTTGAGCTATTAGTTGTATGTTGACGAGTTACACCTTGAATTGCTTACTACCTTCCACACTATAGGTTAGGTAACACTTTTTTAGCATTTCTGATGGTTAAATCCAAAAACTGCCGTTAACATTCTCCAAGGCAGCTCGAAAGCATTCACTTCGAGAAGCATGAGCTATAGTTAATCTATAATTAAATTTTAAACTCTTTTCCCATGCTCTCAATTTGCATAACCTTCTGATCTGAGCGAATACATGTGACATGAACCAAACAGAAGACTCCACTTAAAGCTTAAGTATTTAACTTAAGCCAATAAAACTTGAAAAGTAATTGTCACAAACTTTATATATTTAAATAAAACTTAGAAAAGAATTTTTTAATTATCAGTTGTGCCACGCGACTTTTTCCGGATAAATATAATAATTGTCAGTTAATGAATTTACAGTCAAATTTAATTTCATGAGCCTTCTTATATAAATTATGCTTGTTTTCCAAGTGCTTCAACGCACTTTTAGAGATTTAAGACGGTTATAGTAGCAGTGAACTTCTAAAAGCGCTCTGAACGTTGTTCCATTTACACTGGTGGTTTTTAATCTGCTTTATTCCATGCATCGCTTTTACCATTGCAAAGACGGTCATTCCGCCTTCTTTCCCCAAACTTTAAAAATACATACGTACATTTATTTAGATTTGAATTATTTTTAACGTGTTTTATAAATTAAGCAACAAAAAGTTTAGAAATAGGTACATGTTTTAAAAACTAAACAAAAGTATAAAACCAAAATTTGAATAAAAGTAGTTTTTCGTGCACAAACTAAAGCTAAATACTTAACAACTAAATAAAAGGCTGACTATATACCCTCCTGAAACTGTGAAATTTTCACAACTCCTGATGTACACAGATACTCATTCTCCCAACTTCATTTGCAAACAAAACCAAAACTTTGTTAGTTTTTTATTCTAAGCATTATTATGAATAGGCAATTAAATAATTGGATCGTCATTATCCACACGAACATTGCATCATGCGATTTCATATACTGCTACGTTTTCCCTTGGGCAGTCACACCTCAAGACCTTCCTCAATCAATTTTGCATGGAATATGGTAGGAGAACAGTTACAGCCATCTCACAGCCTGCATAAACTTGCTGAGTAGTTACAGAATACATAACAGCAAATGTAATAATAATTTTTCTCATTCGTACCTGAATATCTTTACGGCTTTGCGTCGAGTTAATGTATGCATTTTGAACCTAGATTTCCTCAATAATTTACCTCGTATTTGTTTTCTGCTTGCTCACGTGAAGTCTTTATCAAGACGGAATAATTTTTAAAAATATGCGGGATATTTAGCATAAAGTGCATCATTATTAGGAATATGATTTTTGAATATTTGCGCATCCATATCTTCAACTGGGAAGTGAGCTCAAGGAAAGTTAACTCACCAGTTTAAAAAGCATTACGATAATTTCAGCAAAACTCCAAAGCGAGTCAAAATTGTCAACTATAATTAGCTAGCGAATATTTACTTATTTTTTCGTTTGGGACTTCAATTTCGTGTTCTTTGATGTGAAATCTTAACTCGATAGGTTTATAGTGTTCTTGGTGCAAAATGCTAATTTGATGTTTTTGGTTTGGCCGATAATTTGATATGTTAGCTTTGGTTTCGCAAAAATTATTAAAACAGCTTCTTCTGTTGGGGAATTAGATTTCTTCTAAGTTTTTAACATTACTGCCAGTAATTCTAATCCAATACTTCCTAGCGCTTTTAAAATTCTAATACCTTAATTTTTCATGTTTCATTACTATTTTGCTCGACAGATGTGAATACGTTCGTGCCTGCTTTTCTCAGCACAATGCTTTCGATACAAATACCGTCAAATTCCCCTCCAGTTTGTAAAATTGTAGGCACTGCCGAAGAAGAGGGACCTGTGTCTGATCGCCCACAAAATCGACTGAGTTTCATGCACAGTAAAGTTGCTATTCTTCCTAATTTTAAATCTTACATTAGTGAGTTCTCTTCAAGTTTCATTCATATCTAATTTAAAAGACATAAAAGAGATGCAAAGAATAATTTTAACTAGTTCTTTAGAAATAATATTAGGTATTAAAGATTAGGTATTTAGAAATAATATTAGTATATTTTATTTTACTTTTTGTGTACTTCATAAGAAAAAAAAATATATTTTCAAATACTATACGTGTTCTCAAAAATAAAGATCATGAACAAGACAAGTCTATACCATTTCCAGACTCACACGTGCTACCTGATACCATCTGAGAATGGAGTTTTTCTTAAGAAACACTTTTCACTGTTATGCGAACAGAGCTTTATCTTTATCCGAACAGAATTCCAAATTCCTTTTCGCTCTTAATATATGAAGATATCCACAATTTCAATTTTTATCTCAAATCCTGTCAACTGAAGTGCAGGGTAGAGCCCGAAATGTCGTAAATTTTTTGTGTTTACTACACATTTATTTATCATAAAAATATTATAAAATGAATGCACGGCTTATTCTCTGATCATGAAAAGTGAGTTTAGTGCGTCTACCGTTTTGTTTCACAACTTTTTTCTTGTAAGCGAACTTTTGCATTTGTCTTAACCACACACGCGCAAAGCACACGTCTTCCAAAACTCCACGATAAGAGCCTTGAGTGGAACTACATTTACAGATTCTTTACAAATATTTCGCCTTTCAAAAAGTCCCATTAAAAGATATCACATGGATTAAAAACGAAATATACGGGGGACAATTATCTTTGTAACTTTCAGGAAACCGATATGATATTGCACGCATATACGCATCTCATACAGGAAATCTTGAATAATATTTGCAGTATGTAGGCAGGTTCCGTTTTGCACGAACCACTGAGTGTGTGAAGGAAGACCTATTGCCATTTTTAATTGGGTGCACACTTGATGTGCGCCGTCATTTCTTCTCCAGTACAGAACTAGTAGCTGCAATTCTTGTGCAATGTTTATTTGCAAGCTTCCATCCAAAGTGTGCTCGAAAATGTTTTTATGCTGTCAATAAACTCTTCGTTTCTTCAAAGAACATTACAACTTTTACCACCTGTTGAGCATTACTGATGACTATCCACCATTTTGCAAACTGCTGTTTCGCGGTAAATTAGAGTTTAATGATGACTTTTCCTCAAGTCTATCATATTTATTTATGAATACGCAATTTTAATTTTCAGTATGATATATCAAAACTTCTATAGAGTTAAGTGAACAGTAAAACATTTATCACTTCGCCCTGCATATTATTTCTGGTTGATTTTGGCCCAAAGACCCATATTAATTTTTAAATAGGCAACAATATCTATTAAAAGTTTTAAAATTTTGACACGTATGCTCATTTTTTTTTTTTTTTTTTTTTTTTTTTTTTTTTTGAGAAAAGTGAGCTGCATTAATAGGCTTTGAGGATTCATTGGAAAATATTGTACTAATATTATACCACAGAAAAGGAAATGTTAATTTGCTAATCTTTTACTAAGATACAAACTAATGTAAAATTCATTTCAGCCTATGATATATAGATTATATATATATATATATATATATATATATATATATTTATAATAATAAATCTTTTTTCAGGTTCCTGGTAACAAAACTATCAAACCTTTTGCCATTTTCATGCAACACTTACAACATGATTCGAGCCGCCCAACCGTGATAGTGGTTAGCGTTGCTGACTGCCGTGACGAAGGACCCGGTTTCGAATCTCGGAGAAGGTTTGGATGTTTGTATATGTATAGCGTCTGTGCGGCATGACGGCACTCTAAATATGCGGCAGGCTGAAAGTCCTGTCGTGTCGTTTGGTGGAAGAGGAGAGGGGTGTTAGACCCTCGGACCCGTCCCCCGGGGTATTCTCCATCAAAATTGGGGGCGGAACTGAGCTAAATCGCACTGTCACCTGTAAGGTGTTCAAGGCTGTTGTCAACATGGAGGTAGGAAAGGGAGGCGGGGCCATTCCGCGCTAGAAGTGAAGCACTGCTTTGAAGCTTGGGTCACCAGACGGGGTGTTCTTTGTTTACATTCAGAAGCTCGCTTGACAAGATTCTGATAGTATTTCGACACACGATAGTTCCATAGAAATCGAAAAAGTGACACTCTCGCATGAAAGAAACATTCATAGTGTGATGGATAATAGCAATTTGTATAGTTTACTGACATTTACGCAAAAATCACATCTTGGTTATTTTTCGATAACTAACAACAGCGATTTTGATTATGAATTTGTTTTATAAAATTCTAAGCAGTTGCACCACAAAAATAGAGATTTTAAGAAAATTGCTAAAAGAGATCTGCCAAAATTTATTTTCTAGAAGATTTGAAAAGTTTGAAACTTGATGGCTAAATGTAAATATAAAATTATGTATGTTAAAATATTTGTAATTAGGCACGTAGGTCAGATTAAGTTTTTATTAAATAGAGTAACGCATGCAAGGGCTATTATCTGCCTAAAGAGAGAGATGCCATCGTGGAGGAATTTTGAAGAAAAACTGACCTTTGAGTGGGTATTAAAAATAATACTTATAATTTTCATTCAAATTATATTCATATATTTTTTTTATGTAAAACTTTCGGGTGTATGCTAAATTAGTGTAAATGACTTTACACGAAAAATATAGTGAATGT